GGGGGGTTGAGAAAGGGGGGAATTAGCAGGCGTAAGTTGAGAAGTAATTTTGGACCCCCAATTAAAAATTCTTAAATCCGCTCTGCATGAATTGTGTCGTCTCTGACAAGTACTCTACTTGCTGCTTCTACCAGCAGTGCCGAAAGTGTCGTGTTAGTAAACAGAAAATGAAAGGTGGCAAATGTTGAGCTCGATCGTCGATTATTGAAAGATATTATTCGTTAATTACGACAACGTACAAAAAAAGTGCATACGTACGTTCTCCAGAAACATGTAGACTTGAAAAAACCCTGCATTGAATGAAAGCAAATTAAAACCCTTTCAAGTCCTACTGCTAAACTTTGAAACATTCCACCGCGTTAGTAACTAGAAGCTCGTAACAAACCTGACTTCGGCGCCATTTTCTTTAACACTTTCAACAAGCTTGACATATCTTTTACGAGTTGGCAAATCTGTCGACCTAAAAAGACATTGGAGGAAAAAAAAGAGAGAGAAATAGTACAGTTGTAATATTTCACCATAAACATTGTTGTCTTGAGGTTTTTACCAAACCTTTTATGATTTGAGCAGTATGAATCACCATTGCAAAAATTAAAAAAACAAAAAACCCTCCAAACTCTACCCAAAATCTACACACTGACGTTTATTGATTTGGTATGTCTGTGCACTTTAAGATTCACAAGGCAAAGGGCCAGAAAGTTGATACTTCGTACGGAGTGTAAATCGCAGGTTAAAAGAACTGATGCGCCTAAACCGCCTCTTTTCCTAGCAACATATTGAAAGAATCCTCACACTCTGGGAAATTCCTTTTGCAATTTTCTAATACTAACTACTTTTTAAGCTGATATATTATTTTTACTTTGAGGGACTAGTTAAAATGTGAATCAATTCTAGAGTTCTCATTTAGATACGCCGTCGATTTTCAACTACAAAGCAGAAAGGAAAAACATGTTCTTTCAAGATGAAAATAAGCTGAATTGAGATAATACATCTTTCGAACTGTACAAGAATATCGTTATTTTTCATTTCTGACCTGAAAAGTTCATTTGTAACAAGA